GCCCCCCAGCGGGCCCGGCGCCTCCCGAGCCCGCCGGGCTCTCGGCGGAGGACGGAGCGTGGGCTTCTTCCTCCCGCCAGGTGAGTGAGGCATGGGAGGAGGCGGCGGGCGGACACCTGAGGTCGAACCCAGCAAACTCTGCGAGGTCAAGGGCTGGAGCGGCGGGGTGACCTGACTCCAGCCGGGAGCCCCGAACTCCTCCTCTCAGATCCTGGCTCCTGACCCCAGGGGCGCCCCAGAGGCGGTGCCCCAGCACCAGCCATTCCTCCCTAAGTGCAGCCCCCCCACACGACCCTGGAGGTAGCCGCGCGCGAGCTTCAGGCCCCTTTGGCACCCACTTTCGGGTGTCCTGTGGGGTACAACTGGGATTATGAGCGACGCCCCAGGTTTTCCGAATTTACGGACACCACCACCCAGTGGTTAGAGATGCGCCTTACTTGACCTTTCCTTTGAGGAACTTCCAGAGCCCCCAGGCTACCGAAGACCTTGGAGCCCTCAAAAGAACTGTCGCTCCTGTGGCCCAGTCCTGATCCAATGAAGTGGTCAAGGGGATGCAGATGATTGAAACTCTTTCCTTCTTTCCTGTGGCTGATGCTGTGTAGCACTAAGAACGAATTTCCAGAGTTTAACACATTCAAATTACTTTCTACAGTATTTTCAAGCAGGGAAATGGCGGCACAGGGCAAGATTAAGGTGAAGTATTGTCCAACCCAAAAGCTAAAGCAATAGAATTTAGGTTTTCCAAAAAGTCATCTAGAAGAGATACTGGAAGGAAAAATGAAAGTAGTTACTGGCAAATATTCCTAGCCAGCTGGCTGCTCTAATTGCTTTGAGGTATCATTTTTAGAAGAGAAAATGTCTTCTCTCCTATGTTAATGACAACAAACCTAATAAAATTTATTTCTCATGATATTTGAAAGCATTGATATTTGTGAGGCAACTACTAGGCCTCGGAATTTACAGATATCAATAAACCATCTGGCTTATTCGTATTTACCTTACCCTCAGGTAGGGTATTATTTTTTCTTTCAGAGGATAGAATCCTGGTTTCAAGGACTTTCTGTTACTGCATGTTCCACATGTGGACAGTGCAACTCCCCCACCCCACTCTGCCCCACCCAGCAACAATGGAGGGTGGAAACTGAGCTGCCAGAGGATTGAACAGTAGGTATTCAGAGTTCTTTCCCTGACACCTACTGCTGTGTGACCTTCATCTCTCTGAGTCTCAGTTTCCCCATCTATAAAGTGGGACAGTACTGATACCTACCTCACAGGGGTGTTCTGAAGATGAAAAGAGGCAATGTGTGTAAAATGATAGCACGGTGCATGGCACTTAGTAGGGCTTCAATAAATGATGATGGAGATGTTGACGAAAAGCAGAACCAGACCTGAGACTCTATACGATCACAACTGGATGACTTTTGTTTTTATCCACAGCCCAGCAACTTCACAGTTCAGTGATCTTTCAGCTGAAAAGAAAAGAGAGGGACTTTCATTCTGTGACATGTTGTTGAGATGAAGGATGTCACGCTATGTAATTGGACATAAATCAGAATTCAAGCATCATATAAATTATCACCAACATTCTGTAACCTACCGAAGTCACTGAAATTTTTGTTTTCAAAATCATGTATAGTCTACAGCCATGCCACCCTGAACATGCCCAATCTCATCTGATCTCGGAAGCTAAGCAGGGTCAGGCCTGGTTAGTACTTGGATGGGAGACCACCTAGGAATACCAGGTGCTGTAGGCGTTAAAAAAAAAAAAGTATAGAATTTACTTTGAAATGCATAAAAATATAAAATGGATAGATAAATGGGTAAATGGATAGATAATGTAATCAAGCAAATAGCAAAATGTCCATTGTAGAATCTAGGTGGTGGGTATATTGTTCACCATCCACTTCTTTCAACTTTTCTGTGCATTTGACATTTTCATTCTAAAATATCGGGGGGGAAAATATGTGCAGATTATATGGCCAAGCTATAATCTTAATACTTTGGCCTTTAGAAATAATCCTTTTTTCCTAAGTATGTGAAGAAATGTAGTGATTTAAAAAGAAAGTATCATTTAAAGCCCACTTTCTCAATGACTGACTTGCCACTTTAAGAATATCTACAGAAACTTAGAGATCCTTAGATCAGAGTTCAAGATTAATAATAATAATAATAGTAGTGGTACAAATATGTGTTTGGTATATAGCAGGCACCATTCTAAATGCTTTATACATATTTATTGCATTTAATCTTCACAAAACCCTTTGGGATACAGAATATTATTTAATCCCATTTTACAGGTGAG